ATCTTGGTTTCTATAGCAATAGTACCTTTTCCTTTTGTTTGGACTAAGGCACCATTCCCCATTTTTACTTGAGGACTGGAGGAAGCATCCATTTTTACAAAAATGCTTTCATCTCCTGTCATGTGATTGCTACATCCGCTATCGAGAAACCATACATCCTTGGTTTGATCCGATTCCTTGTGACAAGCATAGAACATGTGCCCTTTATTTTCTTGCTCCTTGGAAAAATTAGCTTGTTGAGTGCTCTTGACTAGGCAATCCTTCTTGACATGCCCAAATTTGTTGCAATTGTAACATTTTGGCTTTCATCGAAACCAACAATCTTATCAACATGATTGCTTCGGTTGCAATTTCCACACTTTTGTTGAGTAGACTCTTCATTTTCCTTTCTTTGAAAATTAGACCTTCCTCTTCCTCTTGCATTTCTTGCTCTTCCGGTTGCATTTCTTCCTCTTCCTCTTCCTTGGGAATTAGAGGTACTAACATTAAGCTTGGATTGAAAGACACTTTCAATTGACTTTTTAGATTGCCTACTCAACCTTTGCTCAAATGTTTTAATTGAACCCATCAAATCTTCAATACTCAAATCAGCAAGATCATTAGTTTCTTCAATGACAGCAACAATAGGATTGTATTTCTTCGGCAAACTTATCAAAAAAAATTCAACAACTCTTTTATTAGTAATATTATCCCCATAAATTTTCATTTGGTTTACAAGTTCCATAACCCTAGAAAAATAATCCTTCAACAACTCCATATCCTTCATCTTCAAATTTTCAAAATCTCTTTTCAATGATTGAAGTTTGATGGTTCTTACCTTCAAGTTGCCTCTATACTCTTTCTGAAGAATATCCCATGTCTCCTTCACTTTTGTTGCATTGATAATTCTTAGAAAGATTGCTTCTGAAACTCCTTGTTGAATGAAAGAGAGAGCCTTTGAATCCTTCTTCCTTTGCTCTTTTAATTGGTTCTTTTGGGGATTTGTCAAAGGTCCTTCATCTTCAGGTTCCTCGAACCCATTTTCAACAAGATCTCAAAGATCCGTGTAGACAAAAATAGTTCTCCTTTTCACATACCAAAAATCAAAATTTTCACCATTAAAGATAGGAGTAGATACATTTTGATTGTTGGAATTTGCCATGGACGTCGGTTTGTTCTTCTTCGGGGCTTGTTTTCCCGTATCCAATCTCTACGCCCAGCTTGTTCTTGACCCAACCAAAGCTCTCATACCACTTTTGTTAGCTTTTGATAAAACTCTCTCTAGAATGAACTATTATTTTGTATTTAACTTTTCTCTCTTATTATTCATATCATTTGCTCATAGGCTTACATATCCTTTTACATAGAGAATGTTATACATAATTTCAATGAATAAGATCCATGAACCTAAACAACCTTACAACTAACTAGGTACATGAATATAATCTAGACAATGAACTTAATAAATATAAAATACATGAATATAAAAATACATGAATACAAAGAATCTATGAACTCAATGTATCCAATGCATGCAATGTATCCAATGTATCTAATGTAAATATGGCATTAATTTTAACAAAGCTCACATGTGACTATCAAATTGGATATACAAACTTTCTCATCTGGAAACATTAGATGCAAAATATTCTTCGAGCTATTGATCTCTTGAAGGTTGTCAATGGATCATATCAATGTCCCCTAGCAATGATTCAAAATTCTTCTGGATTAGATATTTCAAATCCGGAATTTATACAATGGCGTATGATCGATGCACATCTTATGAGTTGTATAACTACTACTCTTTCTCCAGCAATCTTCACAACTGTGATTCATCTTCAAAGGAGCTCTGAGGTATGGCTATCACTTGATAAGCGATTTACCTCATTGTCTAGGTCACACATCCATTAGCTCAATAACAAATTAAATTCAATATCAAAGAGTTTTGATTCAATGGAGGTTTATCTAAAGTCAAATCAAAAGTCTTGTGGATTAGTTGAGCATGGCTTCATCATTTGTTGATGATGAGGATGTGGTCCTCATTACACTGAATGGGTGCTCATGAAATTTTAAGGGGTAAAAGTAAAAACTCTAAGGCTTCACTCTTATAATAAAATAAATTTTTAATTTTTAATTTATTAATTTAAACCTTAATGTTTCAATTTGTTTTCAATCTAAATTATTTGTTTATTTTTATTAAGTAATCTTGACGAAAAAAATAATATTTTAATCATTAAACTTAATGTGAATAAATGATGAATGCATGTGTATTGATTATATTTATTTTTATTAATATTTGGTTTGGATGTCAATGAATGGGTGAATGGGTATTGTTTAAATTTATTTAAGTTAAACTTCAGTGTGAATGAATTAGATGCAAAACAATGAATTTGTGGGTTGTTATGATACACGAATGTCACAAAAAATAGTTCTTAGTCATTTGCAACACCAAGACACTGTCACAAATAATTAATTATTTTTTTGCAATTTGTTTGCACTTTTTGAGACAAGGAAATTCGGTGGCTCACTCTCTTGCTAGACTGTCTTGCACTCTTCAACAACAGCAACAGGTTTGGATGGAGGGGATGCCCCCATCACTGGATCATTTGATTGCTTTGGATGCTGCTACTTACTACTAGTAGTTTTTCTTGCTTTGTTCTGTTTGGCTGCTAGTCCTCATGCTTTTGTTTCCTTGGCTTTTGCAGTTCACCATCTAAAAAAAATAATCTGATCCTTAAAAAACTTTCAAATCTTAAACCCGTCCATTTTATCTAATAATTATAGACTATTAATTTTTTTTTTCTTGAAGAGATTAAATTATTTAGATTCTTTCAATTATTATTTAACAAAAGTTTTAATATAATTATTGGATAATTCCAATTAATATTTTATATCCTAAGTCCAATTCAAATATTAATTGGGTACAAAATGTCAGCACAGCCTAATCCTATGAGCTAAATATAGAATTAATTACCAATTAGTCCTATTAAGTAAACTTAAATACTAATAGGCCCTATTGACTTTTGGAATGCACCAATAAGTCCTACAATATCTATATTGCCATTAAATTTATTTCCTCATTAAATTTCTTTTTTTTATTATCGTCTCTCTTTTTCTTTCATTTTTCTAGAAAAATTTTTATCTTCTTCTCTCTCTACCATTCTTTCTATAGAGCTTCACACCACCACCATCTACCTCTACTGTCACCATACTACAATCGTTTTACCGCAATCATTGCAACACCACCACTATCGCCATAATTGTCCACTCACTACTACCGCCGTCATTTTTCTTATTATTACCTTCAATGTTATTGTTTAAATATTATTGGTTAAACTCACTAAATTATAACATTTATAATTATTTATTACATCTTAGCAAGTACTAACATTTGCGGGGAAGCTATATGCCACTGTACTTTTCAATTTTTAGTGGGCCATCCTCTCAAACTTTAGAATTACTAATTCTAGTTCTAGTTACGACAGTGATTTTCAATTTTTAATGGGACATTTTGTGGAACTTCAAAATTACTAGTTCTAGTTTTAATTCCGATATTAATTTTAAGGATCAGGTAATTTCCAGTCTGAAATCGGACTAGAGCATATTATTGGATTCATAGGGTTTACAACGAGTGTAATTTCGATAATTTGAATCGTTCAATGTGTAAGGCTCGTCGTGTATTTTATTCCTATAAAAAATTATGTCGATCAGATATCTATAGCAACTTAATCATATCGTATTTTTGTCAATGGTAAATATAATTTTAAAAATAAATTATTGACAAAAATATGCTCTGATCAAATGGCTATCGATATCCGATCAACGTGATTTTTTACAAAGATGAAATACTTAACGAGTGCTACACATTGACAATTTGAATCATTGAAATTGAAATTGTGGTGGGCCCCACGGGCCCAATCTAGATCCTAACTTTAAATAATAATACTGAGATTGATGAAAGTATAGCTTACAAAGCTTACAATCAGACTCAGCAGCAGCAACAGTCCAAACAGGTTCAAGTTCTGCAGCAGGTCAAACAGCCTTCATCAGCCACATCCAAGTGTGAGAAGCTACAAGCCGAGTCCAGTGATAACATTCCATATTATAATATCTGTTAGATGTTGTTGTAACAGAATTAGTTCTACAGTTAGTTAGTTAGAGTTGCAGTTAGTTAGTTAGAGTTAGAGTTAGTATGATTAGTTAGAATTAACTCATCATGGTTAGTCTTGGATAATTGTTGTATAAATACTCTGTATTCATCTGTAAAAGAGTGCTGAAAATAAGATCTCAAATCTTCTTTAGAGATGCATGTTAATATTGGTGATACAATTAAATATCAATTCGTATCGAATAATATCAATTAATATATTGATAATTAATTATGTTGAAGATTCAAAATACTGACATATAAATTAATACAATACATAAGGACCAATATTTGAAACTATACTTTTGACATACCTAAAGTCGACTACAAATCAACATCTAATTACTTAATTCATAGGCTCATAGCCTTCATTTTTAGGGTAATTATTGAGTAATCTTAGAGTATTATATAGTATGGTATTGTGTGATGCTCTCAACAAATGGCGTGACAGAAAAACTTTAGGAGTAGAACAATATTTATTCACCTTATTAGATAGTTAGAAGGCAAGAAATAATATATGCAGTTTTTAATTGGTCAAGAACACCACATAAGTAATATCACATGATATCCGAGGACCATTCAATAATTTTTTTCATTTTAAGGATTGTTTTTCAGATACAAAGCTTTTCCATATAACTTGTTTTGAAAGTGTTGCTATAGAAATACTATATACCATGAAAAGTACCCCAAAACGAATTGGTGAGATATGGGTTACACTTATAATGATTGTGATTGTGATTGTTAGAATTTTTTTTTTTAGTTGGTGTCACTATTATTCATGATGTAAAGTAGTGACTATTGTACGATTCGTGTGACTCATTTCGAGTTCTATTTTGATGATCTAAACATTCAAATTTTAGAAAATATCGAGAATAATATACCTCTAAAAAAATAAATTGATCAAATATCAATAACTTTTCATCAAATCACATCTATATGAAGAAAAAAAAAATGAGTATGTATGTATCAAATTGAACACAAATTTGATTTGAAGAAAGGTTATTAATATCCAATTAACTTGATTTTTTAGTATATTCTTCTCGACATTATTAAAATTTAAACAGTTCAAATCAACAAAATAAGATCCAAAATGAGTCCCACGAACTGCACTAACGGTCACTGCTATGCTGGACGCCAAATCTTTTTTTCCTCGTCAATTTTTCTCGGTGTTGTATTGTTGAGCATTGCTAACCTACTACATTGTTGAGCATTGCTAATCTACTACCCACTCCTCTCAATAAACAACATATATAGATATATATATATATACAAATGCAAAAGCAAGCTAATTAAGTTCCAAAAACAATATAGAGAGCAGTCAGACATGGATCCTGGTTTATACAGAGCTGCCAAGGAAGGCACCATTGTTGTCTTGGAGCAATATGTTGACCAACTTGAAGCCGAGGTCACCCCAAACAAGAACACTGTCCTCCACATTGCAGCCCAATTCGGCAATTCACAATGTGTCCGAGAGATCCTAAGCAAGAATTCGTCGCTGTTCAATCGTCAGAATGCAAAAGGCAACACCGCTCTCTTCATGTTGCAGCAAGGGAGGGACACTCGGACATAGTCAAATCACTCATTGAATGTGCAACGTCACTGGATCATGATCTTGTAGAGATAGAAAGCGGGTGAGGTATCGTCACCCTGATCTTGCCATATTAAAACCGTTCAAACTACGACCAAAACCCGATCTGGTCAGGCTGTTGATTGAAGAAGATCCTGGGTTTACATACCTGGCAAACAATGCCGATGAAAGTCCGCTTGACATTGCTGCCGGGAGAGGGTACCTTGAAGTGGTGTCCGATATCTTGAAACTTGCAGAGCACCGGCTTATGGTGGCCCTGCTGGTAGAACAGCTTTGCACGCTGCAGTAATTTCTAACAATGAAGGTATGTATATGTAGCGGTAAAGCGAATCCATAATATGTATATGGGGCCTGTATTTTTATGCATCAATCAAAAAAGATAAAATTCAAATAAAAAAATATGATTATAAAAATTTAAAAACATAAAATTTAATATTATGCTTTTATATATTTTAACCATAAATGTTTCCAACTCTTAATAAAGCTTTATTATTTCACCTACAAGAATGTGAAATGGCAAGTGTCAATTTTTGATTTGTCACATGCTCGATCATGTGAAACTCTACTTTTTAATCATGTGAAACTCTACTTCTGATCACATCATGGTGGGTATATTTGGGAGTCTCAAACGTGAGTCTCTAGCGTTACTTTATACAAAAATCCAGAGTTATAACATTAAAGAATAATTGAACAAATTATATCAGTGAAATATTACTGTTCTTATATTTTTAGTTGCAATTAATTCAAATATTGAGATTCAATTTTGAAGTAAAATCACTTATTTAGATTCAATAAATTTTTCTATACGGTCTAGGAAGTATAATTAAATGAAGAGTTTATTTTACTTTTTACTCAGTCAAATTATCTATTTAGTCCCTAAATTATAAATTTAGTCTACTAGGTCCTTAAAAGTATATAAATCAAAGTCTATTTAGGTCTCATTTGGCAATATCACTTTTTAGCTAAAAGTCAAAAAACTATTAAAAAAATCAAAAATCCAACAACATATATCAAAAAGTTAAAGATTTCTTTTTCTCTCTACTTTTTGCACATCTTTTCGTGAAAAATCAAAAAGTCATTCCAAACATACTAATTTTTTTTTATTCCCAAACGTGGCCTTAGTTCATGAACTATCGATTCAATCTATTAATTTCCTAAAGTATTTAATTCAAACCTATTTAGCCCCTGAAAAAATTATAAAAATAAAATATGAGCCATAAATATTATAAATTATTAAAAGATCCTACCTAATTAAGATTGTCCTGCAAAAAATTAATTTTAGATTTTATTTCAATTTAGTTCAATTGACAATAACATTAAGGTTATTACGGAAAAATAATGTTGGGTTGGTTGAGATTAATTGATTGAGTTGATCAAATATATAATTTTGCCCCTAAAAACATGACTCATGACGCTTATGTGCGTATTTTCTATAAAATAATGCTTTATTAGTTTTAATCAATTAGACCAAATTGAGACAAAGTAAAGAAAAAATCATGGTCAAATTCAAGCCAATTACAATTATAGAAATCAAAATGAAACGAGGGCAAAAGTAGGATTACTAGTGTAATTTTCCCTCAGATCTATGAAGCAGGGATGAAAGGGTAGGGAATTGTAGAGAAAATTTTGTCCCTATGTTTTAGGAAGATAGGAAGCATTTTCCTTGTTCAGGTGGTTTTCATCTTTGCTATTGCTTTTGCTAAATTGTACTCCAGGAGGCACCAAAACATTGTTGGATTGGAAGAAAGATTTGGCCAAGGAACCAGACGTGCATGGCTGGACACCACTTCACTATGCTGCGCGGTTCGGTCAAGTACAAAGGGCTAAACAGCTACTAGACTCGGATAAATCCATTGCATACCTTATTGCAGACCAAGATGATAATAAGACAGCTCTTCATGTAGCAGCTAGTCAAGGACATGTTAGTGTAATACAAGAGCTTATATCACAATGTCCTGATTGTTGGGAGATGGTTAATCATAAAGGCCAAAATATTTTTCATGTTGCAGTGGAGAATGAGAAAAAGATGGTGATTAAATTCATCTTGAAAAATTATTCACTCAGTGGCCTTATACATCAGAAAGATGTCGATGGGAACACCCCTCTCCACCTCATTGCTACTGGTAGATTGCAATCGACCTCATAGATCACCGAAAAGCAGATAAGGTTGTCTTTAACAAAGGAAACTGGACTCCCCTTGACATATCAACATATTCTGAAACCGCAGCTGTACAAAAGGTACATCGATGTCAACCTTAATCCTATCCAGACTGCATAGTCACAGAAGCCTTGTACACACGACTGCAGGGCTGCTTTTTACTTTAATTCACTAAAGTTATTATTTAGATACAATGTTTTCCTAATTGATTGAAGAATGATTATTGCATGTTCTCATAAAAGAAGAATTGGAAGCAGCTGGTGCTACACTAGGTTTGCGAAATGTAATTGGCAAAGATAATGAGGTTTTAGCAAACGAGAAGAAAGAACGCGCTAAATTTAAAAAGTCGATACCCATTGATGTCAGGAAAGCAGGAGACACCCATTTGATAGTGGCTATACTCATTGCAACTGTGACTTTTGCAGCTGGTTTCACCATGCCAGGTGGCTATAACAGCAACGATGGCCCAAATCAAGGCATGGCGATTCTAACAAGAGAAGCAGCTTTCAAAGCTTTTGTCATAATAGATTACATGGCCATGATATTATCCACTTGTGCTATTTTGGTTTATTTTGCTTCAGCTGATTATGGGGATCAAACTAAGCTTTTGTATCGCTATTCTCTCGTCGCTGGTCTTCTACAGATTGCAACAAGAGCAATGGTATTTGTTGGGGATCGGAGGCACACCAGGAAACACAACCAAGCAATAACACAAGAGTTTTAATGTGGTTCGGCAAATCGCCTACGTCCACGGGCAGCGGATTTCACTATATTGAGAGAATTGCAAAGATTACAATGGAGACACTCTCAGACTGTTTTTTCTCTGTCTTTCAAACCTCCCCTCAGCCTCTCCATTTATACACTGAAGATGGAGCAAGCTGGAGGGCTTGGCTAACACATGGCCGGCTCCTTCTCCACACCTTTAGTGAGTTGGATGCTGCCCCACCATGTGGATAGCCAGGAGAGTTGATGCCATCCTTCCCCACCATGTGGCTGCCACCCTATGATTACATGGGGTGATCTCTAACAAATCACCCCCTCAACCCATGTAAGTAGTTCGGCTGAATCTTTAGCCTAATCTTCAACAAATCTCCACCTCGGCGAGGATTCTCTTATCTAACATAGTGATCGATCAACACTACCATGCACCTAAAGGTGCTCAGTTCCGAGAGATGTTGACCAAGTCCAAACAACGTTGGAACTTGATCCCAGAAACCACTTTTGTGAGCATATCAGCCGTATTATCTATAGTACTAATCTTTTGAAGCAGAATATCCCCTTCATTCACAATTTCTCGGATAAAATGGAAACAGACATCAATGTGCTTGGTGCGGGAATGATGAACCTGGTTCTTTGCCAAACAAATGGCACTCTAACTGTCATAGTACACCTCAACGTGCTTCTGAACAATACCCAAGTCCTCAATCAATCCATGTAGCCAAATAGCTTCCTTAAAGGCTTCCGTTACTGCCATGTTGTGAGAACCCGAATATAAAAATTAAGTAAATAATTAAATAATAATATTACAATCTCAAATATTTTGGTGGTGAATTCTAAGGTGCAAATTAAATATTATTGGAGGATCTTTTAATTAATTTTAAACCTAAAATAAATTTATGGTGAAAGTCTTTAATTTAGAGACAAGGTTTATTATAAAAATAAAAATAAAAAGAGAGAGAGAGGAGGGGGTGACTTGAACTCTAGACCACAAGGTTAATATACAAGACTCCTACCATTTGAGTTGCATGTAACTTATACATATGTTTTGTATATTTATCTATTTATTTGACCTATGTGTGCCCACCACTAGTATAAAAATTAATGGGTTAGAAAATAAAATAATATTAAGAGATAATAATTTAGGGCCTTTTGTTTAGATATATAAAGTAACCCTAGGTTGCCTAATAAAATATATAACAACACTAGGGTTCCTAATCAACACTATAATAGCAGCCACAGTGGCCACGGGGAGAGAGAGTGTTTGAGAGAAAAGATGAAGAAAAGAAAAGGGGATTGCAAACAAGGAGTAATTTTTAGGTATGTGGTAGGTCTTTATCTTTCTTCTTCCTTTTGGTTTTGTTTTTATCCTTATTCCATTATTATTTTATTCATTCATGGAGGTTGTAGGTTTATATATTTTGTATATATATATATACTCTATTATTATTTAGTTCATTGATGGAGAGGTTGTAGGTTTATGTATTTTGTATATATATATACTATTAACAAATTTGAGGAGTTAAATTCTTGTATAAAGAATGGGTATTATTCTTAATTCAAAAATTCTGCGCATAATCACGAACTTTAAAAATCAAGAAGCCATATCAAACGGATGAATTTTAATCTTAAATTTGAACAGTAGATCAATTACATATTGAATTGCATATCTGATTTTTTTCATAATTTTTGGGTGTCAAAATCCATATAAATTGAGGTATTCAAATCTGTCCAGGAAACCAGTCCGAAACAGTAAATTCGGGAGTATTGTTCTCTTTGGGTATAAATCCAAAAATTATCAAATTAGTGTCATTAGAACCGGTTATGAGTTTAGTTTCGTGCGTTTTTGGCCTTGCATTGATTGCTCTTGTATATTAAGAGAACCGTCAATTTCTTTAAAGTGCTGCAAAAAACAACCTGTTTGGATATAATAAATTGCAGATAATTATTTTGATAAGTAAATCAAGTGAAGCCAATTCGGTTTGAAACTTAGGATATATTAGATCATATCTGGAGGTTATTGGAATTTTTCGAATAGCGTGGAGTGGGTTTTGTAATTTTCAAAGTTAGCGAATAGTTTGGGAAGGCTTGTTTGAAATTCTATTTTATCTTAAAGTCACAATTAATTAAGTTTTGACCGGAACCCATGTCTTTGGTGATTTTAAACCTTGAAGAACATGAACTTAGGTAATATTTAAGAGTAACGGTGAGTTAGGTTGAGCCGTGTTAGTGCGCTTTAGTTGAGATTACTTAGTTCCTATTTTTTTTAGTATTTTTAAATTAGTTGTGACGTGTAGTTTTTATACTTCGTTCAAGGCACTAGTTGAACTTTTACACTCTATTCGAGGATTATATTATTGCGTTTCAGGTGAGTAAGTTTCAGCTACATATTTTTATAAATGCTCCCCTACCCTGAACTGTTGGAAAATTAAATTGTTGTTTCCATGATTAAACTGTTTTGATAAATTATTATATTATCAATGGAATCAAATTATTTCTGAAACATAT